CTCATGACTGCAAGTATGTATTTTATTCAAAAAGAAGAGAATAGAGTGTTGTAAAGTTAAGAAGATAAATTGATAAGAACAATTCAGAAATCAGAAGAGGGAGATATGATATAGAACATTTTAATTAGGACATTTTTATTTATGATTCTTATCAAAGTCAATATCAGATTTACAAATGATACAAAGACAAAATTTATCAGATTTGCAAATGGTACAAAGTTCGGAGAGATAGTTATAATTTTGGGTAATAGTATAGGGATCTAAAAAAAACTAAACAGCCTGGAATGATTGACAAAATCTAATATGATGAATTTTAATAGAAGGTAATATAAAGCCCTATACTTGTTCAAATAATCAATTGCCCAAATAATATATGAGTAATTTATAGCTAGAGAGCAGGTTTTATAAAAAAAACTATTTGGAGGTTTTAGGGGAATGTAAGCTCAATGTAAGTCAATATCACGATGTACAAACCAAAAAAGCTAGTGGAATCTTTGACCACATTAATAGAGGTATAGTGTCCTGGATGAGATAATTGATAGTTCCACTGTTTTCTACTTCATTAAGACATTGTCTGGAGTATTGCGTCTAGCTCTGGGTACCACATTTAGTACATTGGCAAGGAGGGTAAGCAGGATGATGAGAGCATTAGAGACCATGCTATACAAGGATAAGTTGAAGGCACTGAGAAGCTGGGAAAGAAAAGACTTGTGGGGACATGCTGTCTGTCTTCAAGTATTTGAAAGGCTGTTACATGGAAGAATAATTAAACTTGTTCTGCTTAGTGGTTCTGTTTAGCCACAAAGGACAGAATAAGAAGCAGTGGTGCTACCTGGAGAGCCAGATTTTGGCTCAATAGGTTGGAAAACTTCCTCATAATTTAAACTATCTACCAGTGAAATAGGTTGTCTCAAGAGGTAGTCAATTCCCCGTCACTGGAGATCTTTGAGCAATGGTTGGATGACTAATTCTTGAAGATATTGGAAAGGTGATACCTGGTCAGGTACAGATTGGAGTACATGGCTTCTGAGGTTTTTTCCAACTCAGAGACGGAATGATTCTTTGAAGCAAAGGATAGTGTGAGGGCATTGATTGTGGAACAGGGAGCTGAGGATTTATAGGGATTACATCAAATGTAAAGAAAAGAGGCCTAGAAAGAATTTTGAATCTTTTGACAATTAACTTCCCCTAATCCCCAACTTTGCGTGGTTCCAGCCTTACATATACAATTTTGGGATGGGGAAATAAGGACACTAGAGGGAAATCTCTCTTCTACTGAATGAGGAGGCGAGATATGGGTGCTCTAGCTTTGTGTGTGGATGTGCAAATCACTACAGGTAGGAAGCCATCCTAGGTTTATCCAATGGGTATACCCTATCTTTGTGGGTGTACGTATGTATCCTAACTTTGTGTTGGTCTGTACTGGGGTTGTGGGGACAGACATTTTAGCTCTCATGTTAAGCTTTCAGATCACTGAGATCTTTTTCAGATGAACTGCTTACCTAGCTACAAAACTTCCATTTTGTGCCATTTTGGAAGTTGTGTTTTGAACCCAAATGTGAGATCCTGTATTTATCCCTATTAGATTTTATTTTAGATCAGTATTCTGGTCTGATGAGATCATCTTAGATCTTTATTCTATCACCCAGTACATTCACTGTAACTTCCAATTTTCAATCATTTGTAAATTTGGTAAGCATGCCATCTATGCATTCAATCATTAATAAAAATATTAAGTAGAAAAAAGCCTAACACAAATTCATAGGGGGCATTGCACTGAGCTGATATCAATCTCTTAATAACTACTCTATGGGTCTGATCATTTGACCAGTTTTGAGGAACACCCAACTATACTCTGATCTAACCCTAAGCTTTCTACCTTGTCCACAGGGGTATCCTACCTGTATATGTGGGTAGGTGTCTGGTTTTGTGTACATGGGTGGGGTGGCTTACATCTATGTATATGTAGATATCCTAGCTCTGTGTTGGGTCTGTCCTAACAATTTGCATGGATTTTCTTTCACTTGGTGTTTGTGTGTGTGTGAGTGTGTGTGTATGGTCCTACCTCTGTGAGTCCTAGCTATGTGGGGGTGTGCTGGTTCTGTAGATGGGTCCTCTCATTTATGACGGGGTCTTGCTTGGGGAGTAATAAAGGCTAGATAGGGTGGAACTGAGGGGTCTGATGCTCTGATCCTGTAGCATTTCAGTTGTAGAGCATCCTATCTCCTAGTGCAAGGGCTGTTGGAGCTATAGATAATGAAGCTGAGCTAATTTCCCAGCTGCTGCACAGCTGGGAACACAGCTGTGAGTGGTATCTGGGCTATTATCCCTCTGCCAAGGCAGGAGTTTTAGTTGGAGGAGAGAATCCAAGAGACGGGCAGAAGAAGGAGGGCTGCCCGAGTTTTGTACACAGGAGAGAATGTTGACATTGACTGCCCAGGTGTGAAGGTGATCAGTGAATCTAATATATTTTTTTTATTGTCTTGCATAACTGAAATTGCTGATTAGGTAGTACTACGCTATCCTTCAGTAACATCCTCCTCCCTTGTGTCAATGTGCCACGGCAATGATCTTGAGTTAACAGCCATACCAGCTAAATACAAGCTCTGGCAGGTCTTGTCAATCTGGAAAGGTTTTGAGTACAGGCCTGCTGATGGATTGTCACCTGAGGATCAGCCTACATAAGCATGGAGATACATATCACATGAGGAATATTTTTGGCTGCAACAACTCATGAAACCATCTGCTGTGGTGTGGAGGGGCTGTTATCTGAGTTAGGGGAACAAGTGTGCATACTGATAAAATCATAGACCTTTTGAAGAATTGACATCAGTGCAACATCTGTAAGGAGGTACAAAGCCTAGAAGGATTGTGGCTGGCTATACTTGAGTATGCAAGGCAAGGATTTAATACAGAAGAATTGACATATAGGGTGATTGTCTTAAAGTAGCCCCATTCATTCTTTTTCCCTCCTGTTTATTTGCATGGGAGGTCCAGAAGATCTTGAGGGGTTCTGGGGAGCCATGGTGCCTCAGACTCACACAGCTCTTTGAAGTTCATTGCAAGGCAGTGTCTGAAATGATTTGAGGCAGGAAGCATGTTGACATTTAAGCAATTTATACTAGTAAAAGGGACTTTCTAACCTGGAATCAGATAGTTTTGTGACAATGACATGGATCTGTCTAGTGGGAAGAAAGGAATTCAAAAGACAGACTAAATACCCATGCTGGCTGACCTGTGTTCCACCATAGCTTAACCCCTGGGGCTAAGACTGTGGGAGTTGACAAATTTTTTCTCTTCAAATAGAGGGAAAGCTGTGTCCGGTCCTTTTTTAACTATTGGGTGTGTGAGGGCCCTACCCTTTTTAAAAAATTGTTGCTTAGTATCTAGGGTCCAAGTTAAAAAAGAATAGGTAAAGTCTGCTCCTCTTATGAGGAAGAAACAGCAGCATCTCAGTTGAGGATTCCAGCTAAACCTCAGTAGGCAACAGCTGTGAGAACAGTCCAGGGTAGACAAAGGTGAAGAACAGAGGAAATGAGACATGATATCCAGCAGAGCAATGAAATGCCATTACCAGAAGACCTCAGCAGGCTTGCTTGACACATATGCTGGCCACACTGGTTTCCTCTGTGCCTCTTCATGTATGTGCACTTGCCACATGTATTCTCTATTTACATGAGCCCTAATTCCCTCTCTTCCAATGTGTGCTCTTGAGAATGTCTACTCTTCTCACTGATGATCTGCGTATTTATGAGAGATTGTATCTCAGGCTTATGTGAGGATGTTTTATTGCTACTTTTCTAAGTTATTTCATCAAATGCTGTTGTTGTTTTTTTTTAACTGATGTCATCTGGCTGAGTAGTAAAAATAAATACCATTGCAGAGATTCCTAAACTATGGTTTTCAGTGAATGTAGGCCGAGTATTTAGAATCTGGGGAAGCTTTTCTAGAGATCACATTTGTGAGATGGGGTTCTCCAGCTATTATACATTGTATATGATACTGAAGTTGTTTGGAAACAAAGAGTTTTTTCCATTAGATCTGATTACTGGTACCTTGGCTTGTAGTAAGAAGCCTCCTACAGGGGCTTGAGAAGTCCTTCTGTTGTTTACTGAGGAAACTAATGAAAGGGCTGTGACATATCATAAAGCATGGAATAACTAAGTAATTACAAATATAGCATTTTGTCCAATTAGTTCCAGAAACAAGAAGTTAGATTTATTTTACAAATTAATCAAATGCATGTAAATGTATATAACTGTCTCAATCTCATCAAGGAAGTGTGCTAACCATTCTGGCTACCTGCTTACTACTTATTGCATTAGGAGTCATCTTTTGCTTATATCACCTAGGCACAATTCACTCCCGTCTTAGCAGAAAGACCAAACCACATCCCCCTTGGCTGCTTTATTCTCCTTTGAGTTCCACCAAAATGGCTGATGGAGGCCAATGAATTGTGTTGCTGTGGCCTGTTTTCTCCCGGTGGCTTCATGTCAGGTGGAAGAAGGTATAGCCGCCACTGCTATGCGTCTTACTTTCACTTTACAGGGAACCTCTAGAATTTATCTTATCTTCTCTTAGCAACAGCAGGCTTGCCTTGGGGTTGATGATTCAACATGCAGGATTGCCTAGGGACACATCAGCCCCTTCCTGCCTTTTCCAGGTTTTGATCATTGTATTGCACTGGCTTTCCCAAGTGATGTCAGACCAGCTTTTGCCTTTTCCATCATCTGCTACTTTAAACAATAGCATTGGCTCTTTGAGCAAAGATACCTCTAGCCTGAGACTAAGCACTCACCTATCAATCTAGGTTATGGAAATGCACACTTCTCCCCACTGAGAAACACGTCAGACACCAGTAAGCACAGAGTACATACCCCAAGCAGCTCATTTAAAAAGCCAGCATCACACACAATAGATGGTTTGCAAAGCCTGTGTCAGTTACTAAATGGCCTTTCCATCAGTGATCACATTCACGGCCTAGGCAAGCTGACACTCACTTCAAATACTCCACTCCATCTGGGGTGGCTGGTACATTGTACCTTCTCATATATTCATACATCTCTGGGAAGCTTTGCTTCACATAATCTTCAGCACTGCTTTCCCGAACTGTTCCAAATCGAAAGCCTTGGGAGGGATGATGAAGCTAAGAGAAAGAAAAACAAAGAAAAAAGCAAGGCTATACTGTCATTCATGTAATTAATTTCAATACCCTCCTAATTCTTCACTTCCTGGAACTTAAAGAAAATGTAAAAGTACAGTTGCCTACATGGCCACACACATATATACATTTATGTATCTTAGCATTCACATCAGGCGTCTTTCTTTCTCCCAGGACATTGGGAAAATCTGTCAATCAGCATTTAAGTAAGAGAATACTAACCTTTGGTTGCCATGTTGAGCTGTATGGAAAAGAGCTAACGTTACCATATATTAACTGTAACAAGAATGGTTTTTCTGTGTGACTTACAGAATCAGTCTGTTTATTTGACAGCTACTTTTTATATATGGTATCAGACCTAAATCATTCTCTTAAATCTCTGCAGGCTGTATTTCTCTTTGACTAGAAAGAACAATACAAAATTTTAAATAAGTTTTCTAATCTGTGATTACAAGGCATTTTCCCAAAGCTATTGGTTTATAAATTAAAGTTGTGAAGGAATCTCTTTTGTGTTTACCCAATTTATATTTGTGGTATTTTATTGTTTTACTTTATCTAAAGTAAATGTTTGGTTTTGTGGCGAAAGGACCTGGTTGCTTTAAGAAGTCAGGACATAAAAATGCTGAGTTATTTACCCAGATAGAGTTGTGCTTAAAGAGGATTAAGATCAAGCTGTTGCGTGGAAGAGAGGTGGCCAGACGCAGAGATATCATATGCCTGAATAATAAAAGGCAGCTGAGAATACTGGAGTAGGTAAACAGAAAACTAGGATGATGGAGTGAGGGCTGGGGGAAAGGGAAGGAAACTGTAGCTTCTCTGGAAAACAAGAAAGACAAATTAGGTTCATCGAGCCTAGTAAATAGTCAGGACATGTTAGTGTGGAATTTGATATTGGATTTTAACTACTTCACATCTCAGAATAAGATAAGATTAAAAGCAGATCTGTGGAGTCAGATAAACAAAAAAAAAGAAATTGAGCATTTTTCACACTTGAATAATACAGTTTATAGTTTGTGCTTGGGCTTTTTTCTTTTTTACGTTTGTTTTATATGGTATTTCACATTTTATATTAAAATTTTAATTTGATGACTTTTGGTTCAAAATGCATTTATTATAAAACCTTTGTTTGGATATATGGAGAATATGACTTTTTTTTAACCCTAAATTTTTCCCAGCCTGAAGAAAGTCTAGGTTGCTATGCCAGTACTATCCCAATGAAACAAGATTAATCTACTGGTGGCAACTACAAGAAGTGAAATACCATTTTATCCCCTACAGGTGTGTTGGCAAGCAGTCTGCTTGTTTCATTCAGCTTGCTCTATGCAGACATATCAGTATCATCACAGGCCAGGTATACCACTTCTTCTCTTAGGACTCCAGATTTAGCAATAACAGTGAAGTCATGGATTCCAACAAGTACTAGAAGGGGTTAAACAACCTTAGGACATGCCTTGAGCCATGATGAAAACATTGTAATAGTACTTATACCTTGTATTGTGCCTGGCAAAGAGTAGAGGGTTAATAAATACTTGATTGATTGAAATCAATATTCCATAGCATCAGGAGGACACATTTTAAAGAGCTTACAGCATCTATTATATATGTGCCATCAAATCTCAGTGGGATAAGAATTGTAGTTTCTCATAACTACTGAAAGGTAACCTCTTTTGTGTGGGTGGTGTTTCCTGTAGCTAGTAAAATAACATGAGATTCAGCCACCAAGAGCAGTTGAGAAATGTTTCCAGCACACTCATGGAGAAGTCAGTTGGGTAGGTTGTGAGTATCTGAGTTAAGTGTGTTTTAGATATTTTTGCATCCCCACTTATGTAGAAAATGGGGGGGGGCACAGGATAATAATGGAATCAACCCCCTTTTTTTTTTAATAGTTGAGAGGTACTCAGTAGACCGGGATATCACAACCTCCCACAATCCCCAACAAAAGTTTACTTGAGAGAATGGGAAAAACTTAGAAGGTATTTTCTTTTTGGTAAGTTTTGTTATTGCCTTTTGTTTTCCCACCAGTCACTTCTTCTCAGCTTCCTGTGCCCTGCTGCATTAAATCTTTTCTTATAGCAAGGAAAAACGTTTAAACAAAGCCAACCAACACAGCATCTGTTGAGATACTGTACTCCCAATCAATAGTCCCACTCTTCTGGGAGGAGCAAGAGGGTTTCCTTACTAGCTCAGAAGGTATTTTCCAGGACACAGCTGTCCCTGACCTTTCAACACAGCATCATTACCACTCAGGTCTGTTATTTAATCTATATCTGAGATCCACAGCAGATGGTACTGCCTTGCTTTGTATAAGATGCTCCCCAAGACAGACAAAACTCATGAGAATACAAATAGATTCATATGGAAAGCTACTCAGGTATCTAGACTCCTCAGAGCCTCATTATTCTGTCACAAAGAGGTGTCACCCAATTCCAAAAGACTCATGATGGAAAATGTTATCCACATTCAGAGAAAGAACCATGGAGTCTGAATGCAGATTGAAGCATACTGTTTTCTCTCTCTCTTTTTTCTTTTTCATGGTTTTTCCCTTTTGTTCTGAATCTTCTTTCACAATATGACTAATGTGGAAATATGTTTAATATGATTGTACATGTATAGTCTATATCAGATTGCATGCTAAGGAGGGGAGGGAGGAGAAAAATTTGGAACCCAAAATCTTATAAAAGTGAATGTTAAAAACTAAAAAAAATAAATAAAACAAAGAGGTGTCACCTCCTCTTCTCTCCTCTCTTCTGTCAACAGGTAGCAGTGTAGTATTAATGACCTACTTAGAAACAGCAGCCTTGAAGCCTGGAGCTATCTTGCTTTTGTAAGCTGTCTGCAGACAGCCTCAGAGGAGGAGATATTCAGAGGTATTGCCAATACTGTCTTCTTTCTGCTATAGAGATCAATTGTCCTGCCTTTCTGATTGCTCTGATGTGTTCCCTACAGTGCTCGTTCTAGTGGATAGATATTCTCTTGGGCATTAGTAGAGACCCTTCCAAATCAAGCTCTTAGCTGCCATAGTTCCCTTTTTATCATTGATGGAATAAATGTTGAGTTTTTCATATTACATCTCTCTACTTCACATAGACTCATTTGTACCCACAAAATAATAATTTCATTTACTGAAATTCCATTGGAGTTTCCAGCCCTAACCACCTAGGAAAAACAAGCCTATTCAATCGGTAAAACTCCCCAAGAGATGAACTGGGGTTTCTTTTCTTCCTTTATGGTCCATTTCTGTTCCATTTCCATATAACTGCTTGTAGGGATGCTATGCCTGTTTGTGAGGCAAATGGCATCAAGGCTTTGAGAAAAGAGCCCTTCAGAAATAAAAATAGCTAAAAATCTGGGGGAAGCAGCATTTTATTCTGCTCAGCATACAGCATAGATATTCAATGATTTATTTTAAAGACTATCTCGTAAGTTATGTACCTTACTTTGACATATGTACCTCATTTGATCAAATGAGATACTTGTAAAACAGCACAGTGACTGGCATATAGTAGGTGCTTAATAAGTGCTTATTCTCGTCCCTTTCCCATTTGCTTTGACATGGCAACAGACCACATTCCTTATTACAGGAAGAAGAAAATGTCAAATGTGAATCCAATTCCCCTCTATAGTTTGCTTTCCTCTTTTCTCTTGATCTCTTTCTTTCCCTTACTGTTTTCTATTAGAAATCTTCTATTAGTTCTCTTTTTCTCTCTCACTGATTCCTTTAGATTGTAAGCTCCTTGAGGACAAGGCTGCCTTTTTCTTCCTTTTGTATCCCCAGCACTTAGCACAGTGCCCAGGACATAGTTGGTACCTATTGACTGACTCTATGATTCCTTCAAAATTATTTTTTCTTCCTTAAAAAGGCATACACTACTATCTTATGAAATACTTGTACAAAGGTTCATAAATATCCATGTTGAGGATATTTATGACTAGGAAAGGAAGTAAGTTATTTATGTAGTGGGAACAATGGATAGTGACTGAAAGACTATAGGGCTGCGCTCAAACCATCAGAATTTTCAAAGAATCAAAAGGCCTCCTACATTTTGGATAGATCCTTTTCGCAGAATGTATAAAAACATGGTTTAGAATTAAACAGGATGAGAAAGGGTGGTTGGGTTGTGATTTGTACCAATGGAAAGATTCCCTACATAGATGAGAGTACAGATGAAAGAACACAAGATTTGGATCCAGGAGGCAAGGGCCCAAGTCTCAGCTCCATTACTTCTTACCAGGTCCCACCCTTACAGCCTTTCCTCTCTCTGTATCCACTGGCTTCATCCCTTCAGTTTAGAAAAAGGCCTAGATCTCCCTCATTCTTTACTCCACTTTACATTGCTATTTCTTTAAACTATCTTCCAATATCTTTCCTCCTTATCATAGTCTATATCTAGAAAAAAAGCCATCTGCTTTCATATCTTTCACGTCCGTGCATTCCATCCTTTTAACTCCTTGAAATCTGGCATCTAACTTTTAACTCCGCCACTGGACTGAAACTGCTTTTCTCAATACAGTTAACAACTATGAAGATAACTCATAATCTACATCCAGCCTCTTATCTCTGAATCGTCCATTAGCATCTCAAAGTCAAGACATCACCTTCCTGATGTCATTGGTTCTCTTAGAGAATGAAGGACAAACAACAAACAATATCAACATCCTTTTAGGTTTGTAACCTTAGAGTTGTTTATCACTCTTCAATCTTCCTTATCCCCTGTATCCCATTAGTTGCTAAGTCTTGCTAATTCAACCTCCAAAACATCTTTCACATCTGTCCCTTTCTCTCTACTTCAGTTCTGGCTTTTATCTCTTTCCTGGACAATTGTAATAGTCTTGGAATTTTTCTATGCCCTCTCCGTGTGGTTGTCAAAGTGACACGCCTAAAGTGTAGGTCTGATCATGACACTCCTATGCTCAAGAAGTTTCACTGATTGCCTCTTGCCTCTACGATAAAATAACACCAACTTTTCTACGTGGCATTTAAAACC